CCACTCCAGCAACCCTCAGATTGTTTCCTGAAATTAAGAGTCTGTTAGTTTTTTTTAATGCTTTTTTGTCTGGAATGCTTTGCTCCACTCACTTCCTGTGGATAATGCTTTCAGGTCTCAGCTCAAATGTCTCCCTCTCAGAAGAACCTTCCCCAAGCACCCCAGCTAAATACTCACAGGCCACGTGGCAGCATTCTGAGTGCAGGGCGCGTGCTTTGAAATGGCATTTACACCACAAGTACGCTGGTTTTGCTCAAATATATTTGTTTGGGATGGTTTGGTGAGAGCAGGGTCGGCGCTTGGGTGAAGCACACCAGGTGCCTGGGACACAGGGTTTAAGCAGGCCTGTCAGAGTCTTTGCGAGCACAAATGGCACACCAGAGGAGCCTTACTTGCTTGGCCTAGTCTCAACTCTAGGTGAGGGGACGTTAGGGGGCACTAAAGCCCCCCCCCCAAGCTATTCCAGACCCCCCGGTAGCCCCGCTGCCTCCCTCCCCACCCTCCAACCTGTTCTGTACACAGCAGCAAGGATTGTTTTCTCTGAAGCCTGCAATGTTTACCACTTGTTCCTTAAGTCAAAGCTGATTAAGAGTCTCTCCCCCTGCCAACATTCCGGGTTTCTGTCTCTTTTAATTCTTCTCAACATCTTGCTGCAGGAAAGCCAATCTTATTGTTATCGCCGTACATGTCTTGCCCTTTTCTGCCATCTCAGCCTTTCACCCTTGAACACCTCCCCCTGTCTCCTCCTGCGTGTCTTTGTTGGAACATGTCAGCTCTTCTTTTGTCAAACCTCTAGCCCAGCCTCACCTCTGGACCCTCCATATGGAGGTCTTGTCAGTCTAAACACCACAGTTATTCTCACCTTCCTCTATCCTTCTCATTTTCTTGAATTCTTAGCATTTATTATAAGTCGGGTTTTATAAATGCTCAGTGGAGCATTGTGGTGCACCCTGTGATATGCCATTCATATCCCCCCCTTCGTGAATAAAGGACTCATTCCCCCAGCTGCTAGGCGTGCTGCCAGAAGATGGCTTTCAGCCGCCAACCCTCTTTGGGCACTGCCTCAGCTGCAGAGAGCTGACTCATCCAAGGTCGCATCCCCTTCTGGGGCGGCCTACATTCAATGACTGATTGACAGGAGGGGATGGAAACTTGACTCCCTCCTCCCAACTTGGAACAGCTCTAAATGGCCATCTCGGATCTAGAAGTCTCTGCAAGGTCAGATGAGGCTGTTGTTGGGCCTGCACTACGGCTCGGCTTCTTCCTCTGCCCACTCCTGCTTCCTTCCCTTCCCTTCCAAAGATGTTGATCTCAAGGGCATGCCCTAATAAACATCCTGCACACCAAACTCTGTCTCAGAGTCTACTCCCAGGAACCTCATCCTGCCACAGGTATGTTCAGGTTCATTCATTTGAAACTGTGTCTATTTGCACACGAGTGTCTACTGTAGTTCCTTCTCTCATTACAAAATTCTCGAAAGAAACTACGCATGACGCTGATGATGATGGCTGCAGACATTTTAGCACCCTCAAATAGCCATAAGTTCTGGAGCTTTTTTTATCAGGATTTGGAGAAGGTAATTAATAAAGCTTTGCTAATTTAGTAACTAATGTTGTGACCATTCATACTAGTAAACATAAATGAAGAGACTTGGCCATTACCCCGTGTGCCTCCTGCCCTGAAAATTTAGCCTTCCCTCTAGAGAGCAGGTTTTATACTCCCTACATATAATCATTCTTACAGAAGGAATCAATAAGTACTTCGAGAACCAACAGAGAGGTTTGGAAATTAGAAAATCACCCAACCTTGCATGCACTGGGCCATGACTGAGAATACAAAGAGAAATTCTTTACTCACAGCTCAGCTTTCAATACTAAATCACTCATTGGCTTTTACATAAATCTTAAAACCAGAGGAAGAAGGTGATTAACAAACCCAGTTCAGTCTAAATATTCACTTAGAACAATGTTAAAATCATTACCATCAATAGTTTATGGAGCAATTTTACAGTCAAGGACAAAATTATGTTTTCTTGAACATGTAAGTTATTCTCAGTTGAAGAATGGGGAAATAGATTAATTATGGCCTTGGAAACTTCAGGGCTTCTTAAATTTACAATAAATCTCCTGGCTTTATCTTGAAAGAAAATAGGCCTACTTACAAATTAACTGAACAACTTCTGCACTATCGGACTTTCCCAAAGACTTTTTAAAACTCTTACTCCCACTAAGATTTAACAAAGTTTCAGCGCTCTCTGTCATTTAAATGAGTTTCTGCATAAGAACAATACTGAACCTACTTTGTAAGACTCAAATTTTTCCCTTTGGTGTTAATAAAACATCTCTGACACACCATAAAATGTTTAAATCCTATATTTTTCCAACAGAATAAAGCCTCTCCAGAAACATCTTCTAGCAGGGAACAGTTATTGTTAAGATATGTTTTCACTATAAAAACCAAATGCAATCATAGTTTGCATTAATACAGAGCCTTTCTTCAAACTGGATTTGTAGTGACAGTGTGCTAACTTTTCCCATAAAGTGAAGAAGAACCGCCTTAAGCACATGTCAGATCTGACCCTTCATTTTCGTTTATGCTGAATGAAAGAGAATTATCTGCTGTAAGAGTTCTCTCTCTGAGTCCCCACAGTTTACTATAATAGGGTGGTTTCTAATACATGCTATGGTCCGTGCCCGCCATTCCTTCTATGGCAAGTGTATTAGGTAGAATAGTATCCTCCCAAAATTCATTCTCAGCCAGAACCTCAGAATGTAACCTTACTTAGGAGGGTCTTCACAGATGTAATGAGTTAAGATGAGGTCGTGCTGGATTAGGGTGGGCCTACATTAACGTGACTGATGTCCTCCTGTGAAGAGGGGCATTTGTATAAAGAAACACAGGCATAAAGACAAGAACATGGAGGCAGAGACTGGAGGGATGCAGCCACAAGCCCTGGAAGCCTGGGGCTGTGGAGACAGACAAGGAGGATCCTCTCCTAGAGGCTTCAGAGAGAGCGTGGGCCCTGCCACCATCTTGATTTTGGACTTCTAGTCTCCAGAACTGTAAACAATAAATTTCTGTTGTTCAAAGCCACCCAGTTTGTGGTACTTTGTTATGGCAGCCCTTGCAAACTAAGGCAGCAGGGCGCATTGACTCAAACTGGTTCAGCAAGAGCACGAGGGAAAAGCATTTTGTTTCCTTTTTCTTTGGCAGGAGGCAGCGGACAAGGCCGGTGCTCTACCCAGGTGCCATCCTAGGACTCCTTTTTATAGCTTTTGCTCCCTCTCCCCATTTCAATGGGCTTTTAACAGCACTTGCAGCTCTTCCTCAGAAGACAGCCCTCTGGCTACCCAGCTGCTTTTCCTACCAAAGTGCCAGGGGATTTACCACCCTACCTCCCCTTGCTGCCCTTGACCAACGACTGGTTCAAAGGATGAAAGCCCACCTTCGGGGGCACGTGGGTGGCTCAGTTGGTTAAGCATCTGATTCTTGATTTTGGCTCAAGTCATGATCTCAGGATCCTGAGATCGAGCCCTGCATCGGCTCTCAGTGTGGAGCCCGCTTGGGATTCTCTCTCAGCCCCTCCCCTTGCTCGTGTTCTCTCTCTCTCTATCTATCTTTTTAATAAATAAAATCTTTAAGGAAAAAAAAAAAGAAAGCCCACTCTCCTTGCCTCAGGTTGAGACAACTCTGGGGCATAAGTTACGCTCCTGAGCTCACCTGTGGGATCAGGCTGAAGCTTCCTTCTGTAGGATGGTGCCTGACATGGCACAAGCGTGACCAAATCATGCCGGTTTGCCTGGGAGTCTCCCGGTTTTAGCACCGATTGTCCGATGTTCCTGGAAATCCCTCCATCTTAGGCAAACCGGGATGGTTGGTGACTATAAATGGCCCTCTTGCTTAGATTCTTCCCTTTCTCTGTTTTTCTCCTATTCTCCTACAGGTCTTCCTTAGGAGTACTTCTTTAATAAATCACCTGTACACAAATCCTCATCAAATCCCTTGTGGGGAACCCAGCCCAAGACACTGATGCAGGAAGGGGTGAAGAGCACATGAAAGCCTTGGGGATTTGGGTATTTCCTACGAGAGAAATTCAGCCATTAACCCACATTGTGTAATTCATGTTCCTGGTGATTGGCAAATAAACATCTCAAACTCAAGAAGCAGAAGCAGGGAGTGATTTTTAGGCCTGACATATTTGCCTCTGGATGTCTTAGCTTATCAGAGTGAACCCTCGCACTCACTACTGAGATAACAGCAAACACATGCCTTGCCAGAAACACACTAGTGCACAGTAATTGTGAATAGTCATCTCTTAATGAGAGGGCCAATTCTATCTTTCACTTTGTTTCTGAAGCAGACTCTGTTTAGGGGAGTTTTCCCTTTAAAGACTCCTGATTGGATATTAGTAGCCAATCAGAAACATAATGGGGAAATAGTAGTGATGGGGTATTTTTTTTTATTTTATTTTATTATGTTATGTTAATCACCATACATTACATCATTAGTTTTTGATGTAGTGTTCCATGATTCATTGTTTGCCTATAACACCCAGTGCTCCATTCAGTACGTGCCCTCTTTAATACCCATCACCAGGCTAACCCATCCCCCCGCCCCCCTCCCCTCTAAAACCCTCCGTTTGTTTCTCAGAGTCCATAGTCTCTCATGGTTCGTCTTCCCCTCCGATTTCCCCCCTTCATTTTTCCCTTCCTTCTCCTAATGTCCTCCATGCTATTTCTTATGTTCCACAAATAAGAGAAACCCTATGATAATTGACTTTCTCTGCTTGACTTATTAGTGATGGGATATTTAAAAGGTTCTGTGGGGATCCTTCAGGATTGGTTTGTGTATGAGTCTCTTGGAGGGTTAATTTTTGTCCTCTAAAATGCCTATTTATTTTGTATGAGACTGGGGGCATCTTAACATAGGGCTTCTCTTTGGGGCATCTATATTTTTTATTTGGGTGTATTTATTTATGGATTTATGTCATTTTGTAGGTAAAATATAAACATGTTAAGAAATTCAAACCATATAAAAGGATATACCATGAAAATAAATTCTCCCTCCTATCTCTGTCCTTGAACCTTCCAGTTCCCCTTCTCAGAGGCAGCAACCATTACCAGCTTCTTACATATCAAAAGGGTTACTTTGGACCCATGAAAGAAGTCATGCCTCCTGTACATGCTGTGTGAGATTAGCAGCAGAGCAGGAAGTATATAGGGGGCATTTTCACAGCCGCCTGGGACTCAGATTTAAAAAGCCGCAAGGCTGCTGGTGTTGAGTTTGAAATATAAGCTGGCGTAGATGCCATCACTGTGACCTTCACACTAGATTGACATTTTTCTACTAAATTGCAGTATTAGAAAAATGACAACATTCTCTCCATGCCTTGGGAACTCTATGCTGTCTGGATTTCATTGCTTTCTTCAGCCTTTGTGGTAGCAGTGCACAAGGATGCCAGTCATCATAATGGCTGGTTTCAGGGCAGTCAGAGGGATAATTCAGAGAGGCTTTTAGGAAAGCGTCACAGATGAGAGGCATCAGCCAAGATGGGAAATGGGCACTCCAGAGGAAATGGGCACTCCAGAGGGAAATGGGCACTCAAGAGGGAAATGGGCACTCCAGAGGCCACATAGCTGTAATAGTAAGGCTGGTAACATAGCTTTAAGTTTGTGGGCTCACCTGTGCTTTCCTTGAATGGAAGAGAGGTTGTTTTCATTTAAGAAGGGCTTAGTGTCAAGGCAGAAAGTCCCCCTACCTTTGGAGTAGCCGCCTGAAGGTGCATCCCAAATTTTGCAGCACTCATCATGATGGAATGCAGAATGTTGTTCCCATCCCCAATCCAGCTGAGGGTGAGGCCTTTCAGAGAGCCATAGTGTTCCTAAGAGGCAAGGGAGGAGAAGATTACATCCAGGAGGAAATCCACTTATGTGAAAAAATTATTAAGGCTAAAATAAAGGAAACAGTCTTCACCTCATTTTTAAAGCTTTGTTGGAATGAATAAACTACTAGGTTTTGGGTTTTTTTTTTTGCATTATACAGAGCAATTCAATACATGAATGTACAATCACAACAAATAGCAAAACGACTTAATATCTTAAACCATGACATCATATGAACTCATACAGAGACTCATAGTTTCATACATTTCAAATCTGAATCTTTGTTGTATTCATTCATTCATTCATTCATTCATTCAACAAATTGAGTGCCATCAATGTCCAGAAGCTTTCCTTGGCCCTGGAGAGAGAACAATGAAGAAAGGAGACCAAAAAAAAAAAAAAAAAAATCACTACCTTTATGGAGCTTACATTCATTGGTATTAGAATGGGGAAACAATGCATCTGGAACAGTGGAACATGGTGTCTATGTTTGCATTTATATAAAGTTAAAAAACATGCCCATTAATATTCTTGATTGCTTACAGATATAGACATGTTAAAGTATAAACACATGCCTGGGAATTATAAATACAGACATCAGGATAATAATTTCTTTGTGGGGTGAAAGGAAATGGAATCAGGGAGAGTTACACAGTAGGCTTCAACTCTGTTGAAAACAAAAAAATTCTAAAGTAAGATTTGACAAAACTATGTAATGGGCACAAGGGTGTTTGTTATATTTTTTTTGAACTGTCTGTAGGTTTCACAGATTTTATATATTCATAAAGATAATATTTTAAAAAGAGAAAGGCTAAGCAACTTTGAGATACAGAACTACTACATGGCGAACCTTGGATTTAAATCCAAGTCCATCTGATTTAGATGCCATGTTCTTAATAAGCTGCTATTTATTCATTCAACTGCTGTTTTGAGTATCTTCTGTATGAAGGAATTGCACCAGGTCCTGCAGGGGACAATATGGTGAATAGGAAATTTTATTGTCCTTCAACAAATTTGTAATCTAGTAATGATGAAGCCCCAGGGGGAAGCATTAAATTATCTGGCATATATGTAAAGCCACAGCTGCAAGCAGCCACTTGGTATCTGACATTGCTGTATCATCTTCTCTGCATGAATCTTATCCTCATCACCAAAGAGTTCCATTTCATTTTGAGTTTAACTTCACATTAATATGTGTGTGGCTTATTCAAATAAGGAGAAATATGGACCTATCCAGTTTTCCCTGTCTTCCCAGGACAGTCCATCGACACAGAAACCATGGTTGTCAGGATTCCCGGTGGCAAGACCATGTAGATTGGCTGTGGCAAACCAAATGAGATGAATATTTTCAAAGTTATTCAAGTTTCTAATTTAAGGGGGGACAAGGCTAAATTTGCCTCAATTCTATAAATTCTACGTGTTCTTAACTCCAGTCTCAAACAATTAGTTTATTAAAATGATAGAAAACGACCTCCTTCTCAGAAAGTGATCTGGTAGTTGACCATTTTGAATATTCAAAGCATACTCTGCCAGTCTTCACTCCCAAGCCACAGAGCCGGATACATGTAGGGTTAAAAAAGCTTTTCGATTCTGTATGCACCAGCATTCTTTATTCATCCATTGTGTTAAATATATCACCAAAAACCAAAATGATTGAGAGAAGAGGGGTTTGGGGGGGGGTGCTAAAAGAGGTTGGGAATTGAGTTGTGAACAGAAGGATCTGATGATCTGTTTTTTAAATGCCCTGTCTCCCTTGGAGATCTAGTATTCACACATACACTATAATTCTTTGCCAAAATGATATTTGAAAACAAAACAACAATACCATGATTTAAATCATTCCATTTAGAGCTAGTCGGGAACAACTTATTTATTTTGCGCTTGTGTAAGGCAAACAAATAAGCCAACCTGGAGCGTGAGGTAATCAGCCAGGATCTGGATAGGATGGTACAAATCTGACAGCCCATTGATGATTGGGATGGATGCTTCTTTAGCCAGGGTATCTAGATCTGATTGTTTGTACACTCGAGCCAGCACTGCATCTGTCATGCTAGACAACACACTGCAGGAAACCAAGAAAAGATCATCTAAGTTAATCATGCTTAATAATTCCTTCTTTAAACATGATCTCAAACAGGAATAAACGCTAATAAATTAGAATTTTTGCTAAGTTACAGCTACCTATCAACATGACAGATTTAAAAGCTAATATTATGATGCCTGGGTGGCTCAGTTGGTTAAGCATCTGCATTTGGCTCAGGTCATGATCCCAGGGTCCTGGGATCCAGCCCCACCTCAGGGCTCCCTGCTCAGCAGGGAGTCTGCTTCTCCCTTTCCCTCTGCACCTCCCCCCATTTGTACTCTCTCTCTCATACTATCTCTCTCTCTCAAATAAAATCTAAAAAAAATAAAAGCAATATTAAACATGTAGTCATTATAGAAGCCAGATGTTGTTCCACTGATCTCATCCAGTGACCACTGATTTTACTACTTTTTACAGAGATAAGAAAACAATTGTGGGCCTAACAAGTTATGATGATGAATTATAATTGATAAGGGGCAGTTGGTAAACTTAAAAGGGACAACACGAAAAACAAGGTATACAGAGAAACATTAATGACCTGGCATCTGGCTCATTTTCTTTGACATCATCCCCCAGACGTGTATACATTGTAAAATTGAAAGTACCTGTATGGCAGCCATGAAGGTACACATGCAGATCGCCGCACCAGAGGAAACCTTCTGGGAGGAGTCCCATTAGCTGACAACCCCCAGCTGCTGTACTTTTGGGATACGCTGTAGGGTTTCCACTAAGGACACGCTCCCCCCACGCTATTCCCAGCCAGTGGCTGAGCCCAGTGGGGGCACCAGAGCAGAGCGATTGTGCCTGACATGGGGCTGCTCCAATGGGCAGTCTTTGCTCTGAGGTCCCCCATTGGCCTGGCCAAGGCTTTCTCAGAGCTGTGCTGCAGTCTCAGGTTCTTTTTACCCTCCTCCTTCTTCCCTCTTTTCCCTTCACTGGGGTAGGACCTACATTGTGGTCTGAAGGCTTTCCCTGCCTACTCCTGCTTCCTCCCTCCTTCATCCTTCACAGTTCTTTCACCCTATAAATCTCTTGCATCTCTAATTCCATTTTGGAGTCTACTTCTCCATGAACTTGAATGACACAGACCACAATAAACTCCTGTAGGGGCCAAGCCTGAGAAGGCATTCAGCCTTTGTCCCTGCACCCTGTATAGCTATCAGCATCTCTGAAAAAGACAGAAAGTGTTCAACATCGTAAACACAAAAATCCACCAAAAAAGCAACACGAACCAAATCATGGCTATGAATTCAAACAACACACAGAAAGATGAATGTTATTATTCTCATTTTATGGCTGAAGGACCTGAGACACAAAGAGGTTAAGAAACTTGCCCCAGATCACACAGCTAATTAAGTTGGAGGAGTTCATACTCAACCCAAAGTCAATTGAAGTCAAAAGTCCATGTTCTTGGGGCATCTGGGTGGTTCATTCGGTTGTGTCTGACTCTTGGTTTCCACTCAGGTCATGATCTCAGGGTTGTGAGATTGAGCCCCACATCAGGCTCTGTGCTCCGTGGGGAGTCTGCTTGAAGATTTTCTCCCTCTGCCCTTCTCCCCACTCGTTCTCTCTCTCTCTCAAATAAATAAATCAATCTAAAAAAAGTCCATGTTCTTACCATTACAACACATTGCCTCAACTTTGCACATGAAAATATCTGGAAGGAAAGCCTGGGATCCAGATTTTAACTTTTTCCCATGCATCAGAGTGATGGTGGTTCCTCAGCTAAATCTTCAACCTTGCAAGACTAGCAAAGATAGCCTTTGGTTTAAAATCTTGGTTTCTTATTATTTAAAGGGAAACCTCTACAACAGAGGCTTCTAACCATTCCAGTTTTAAAGAATTCTTTTTAATGACAAAAAAATTTGGAAAGCCTCTCATGATAGTAGTTAGAGTAAATATAGTCATGATTATAAACCATCTGGTTTGGGGTTCTTATTCTAGTTCTGTAACTTACTAGCTGTGTGACCTTGGAAATGTTATTTAATTTCTCTGTGACTGAGTTTCTTCATCTTTAAAAGCATAATAATAATATCTATTCTATTGAGTTGTGAGGATTTCATGAGATTACCTATTTAAAGTGTATAGTACAATGCCTTATTCATAGTAAGAGATCAAAAAAGTAGTAGATATTATTACCATGTCAAAAGAAGCTGTAACTCAACACCAAAAAAAAAAAAGACCCCACAAATAATCCAATTAAAAAATGGGCAGAGGACCTGAATAGACATTTTTCCAAAGAAGATATACAGATGACCAACAGACATGAAAAGATGCTCAACATCACTAATCATCAGGGAAATGGAAATCAAACCACAATGAGGTATCACTTTACTCCTGTCCAAATGGTTAAAATCAAAAACAAAAACACGAGAAATAATAAGTTTTCGCAAGGATATGGAAAAAATAGAATGCTGATGCACAGTTGGTAGGAATGCAAATTGTGCAACTACTGTGGAAAAGAGAATGAACATGCCTCAAAAAGTTAAAAATAGAATTACTGTATGATCCAGTAATTCTACTATTGGGTACTCACCCAAAGAAAGTAAAAACATTAATTCAAAAAATATATGCACCCCTCTGTTTACTGCAGCATTACTTACAATAGCCAAATTATGGAAGCAACACAAGTGTCTACCAATAGATGAATGGGTAAAGAAGATGTGATATATAGATATATATACACACACAATGGAATATTACTCAGCCATAAAAGGAATGAAATCTTGCCATTTGCAACAACATGGATGGATCTAGAGGTTATAATGCTAAGTGAAATAAGTCAGAGAAAGACAAATACCATATGATTTCACTCATATGTGGAATTTAAGAAACAAAACAAATGAACAAAAAATAAAAGAGACAAACAATAAAACACTCTTAACTACAGAGAACAAACTGGTGGCTGCCAGAAGGGGAGGTTGGTAGAGGGATGGGTGAAATAGATAAAGGGGATAAGAGTACACTTATCTTAGTGAGCACTGAGAAATGTATAGAATTGTTGAACCATTATATTGTACACCTGAAAGTAATATAACACTGTATGTTAATTATACTTGAATAAAAAGATTAAAAAAAATTTTTAATGCATAAAAACTAAAGCTAGTATATATTCAGTAAGGTCTTCATAAATTTGTATTTTAATTATCATATATTTGGAAAATGAGTCCCTCTTATATATCTGAGATATATTATTTACCTCAATCGGTAGAAAACTGTTGGTGCTTATAAAATTCAAGAACCACTAAAAAAGCTCCTTGCCCCCAGGGATTAGAGAATCAAATACTGAAAACCATTTCCCTGTAACAATATCAGAGATTAGAGAATCAAATACTGAAAACCATTTCCCTGTAACAATATTCACATTTTTTTCAAATTTTCATAGATTTCTCATACCCATAGTTCCCAGATTTTCAGATTTCATGGATCAGCACAATTTCCAAAAACACATGGAGATCATAAGATTGCCAACTTTTTGCTTAGCAAATTAGGGGCATAAAACAACAAGCAATTATACACAGATAATATGTTAATATCTTCATTTAATAAAAGAAAGGGCATTTTAATGCCAAAAGAGGTATGAATGACCTAATCTGAAAGAATGATCCTTGAAATTGAATTAAATTAGGTTATGAAATTCACTATATTATCTTTATGTTTCTTATTTGACCACTTCTGATGAAAACTTCCAGGGTGCCTGCGTGGTTCAGTTGTTAAGTGTCTGCCTTGGGTTCAGGTCATGATCCCAGGGTCCTGGGATCGAAGCCCGCATCGGGCTCCATGCTCTGTGGGAAGCCTGCTTCTCCCTCTTCCACTCCCCCTGCTTGTGTTCCCTCTCTCGCTGTCTCTCTCTCTCTGTCAAATAAATAAATAAAATCTTAAAAAAAAAAAAAGAAAGAAAGAAAGAAAACTTCCCATGGCAGGGCATCAGTGGAGGGGTCAAGATTTGGAATCCAGTGCTCTTAACTATCTAAACACATTGTATATTGTAGCATGAAAGAGGTAAATGAAAGAGCCACTTTAGAGTTTCTCTTGCAAAACAAATGATGTTTGATGGATGTCTAAGACGGGTTTTCAAATGTTTGCTGCATATAAAAGTCACTTAGAGAGTTTTTTTTTTTTAATTCTTGGTGCCCAGACCATAATCTCTATCAATTATTGTCAGAAAAATAGAATCTCTAGGGATAGGACCTAGGGATCAGTATTTTTTAAAAACTTTCCAGTAGATTCCAATGTGCATCCAAGGTTGACAACCAAAGCTAGCACCTCACTCCTCAGATAAACAGCATCATTATCACCTGGGAACTTGTTAGAACTGCAGAAAAGAAAGAGAGAGAGAGAGAAAGAAAGAGAAAGAAAGAAAGAACTACAGAATCACAGGCCCCACCCAGAAACAAAAGAAAGAAAGAACTGCAGAATCACAGGCCCCACCCAGATTTACTGAATCAGAAGCTGCATTTTAACAAGGTTTCCAGGTGATAATTTTCATGTTAAAGTTTGAGATGCCTAATAAAGACAGAATTGAGGCCACCATATTTTTAAAAGTACCATCCATTCTTTTCTTAGAACCCTAACCAGGCCAAAAAAAACTATCAAGGGATGGCAGCCCACAAAAACAAGATTTTGTCCATAATCTCTGGTAGGGAGTGCTTTCTAGTTCAACTGAAGGAAAAAGGCATCTGAAATCCTAAGAAGTGAATAATCCACTCCATTAAGGCCTCCCTCATTAGAATAACCAGGCCCTGAGCCATCTGATGACCTATGGCAATGATTCCCAAACTTTGGTGTGTATCAGAACTAAATAAAAAACTAATAAACTACAGATGCCCAAGCTCCTGAAATAGGGGAGAAGTCTGGGTCTTTGTACTATTACCAGGTTTTCCAGGTAACTCAGATAACCTTACAAACGTTGAGAACCACTGTTCTAAGGCAAAAGCTTTATATTAAAAGAATTTTAAATCTTCTTCCTTTTCTTCAAG